GGGCCGGTGCGGGAGTCGCGGTCCTGAGACCCTGCCGCGCTGCAGTTCCGGATAAGCGAGTTCGCGCCACCGAGCATGGTGGGAGCGGAGCAGCCCCCGAGCCCCGAACTGCGGCGGGAAGGCGTGGCCGAGTGCGGAGCTGGCCCGGCCCCGGCGGGAGGTGGCGATGCGGGCACCCAACAGCCGGGTAGGAGCCCCAGGCCCCGAACTGGGCCCCTGCGCGGGTGGAGCGAGGTCTGAGCTCCCCGAGGCGCCACGGTCGGGGGCGAGGTCCGGGTCCCTGCAGGTGCACCAGGAGTTGGTCCTAAGGTGGAGGAGGCTGTGTGTGTGCGATGGGGGACCTGTCAAGTAGGGGAGCCCGAGGAGATGGGACCAAGGGGGAGGCAGGGCCTCGGGAGTGGGGTGGGGGCTCTGAAGTGGGAGGAGCCTGGGTGTGGCTGGGATGGGGTGGGCCGCCTGAGGCCCCTTTGGCCCCCACAGCAGACCTCCCCCAGGACCCTCCAGAAGATCCCCCGCAGGACCCCCCAGAGGATGAAGGCACCTGCCAGTGCCAGGCGTGTGAGCCGCAGCAAGGCTCCGGCCCAGACCCTGGTTCCTCCGGGGACGGCTGCCCACCACTGTTCCAGGAGCGGTAAGGGGCAGGGCTTACCCCTCTGCTTGCTCTGCTTTGGGGCGCAAAGCCCCATTCCCGTATATGGCTTAGGTGAGGGGCTGGGTGGTGCCGGGTGGGTCAGTGGTCCTTTCCTTCCTGATGCCCCTTCCTCAGGTCAGTCATAGTGGAGAATTCCTTGGGCCAGAACCCCTCCTGCACCAGCACTTCTGAGCTCCTGAAACCCATGAAGAAGCGGAAGCACAGGGAGTACCAGAGCCCATCAGAGGAGTCCGAGCCAGACGCCGCGGTAGGAGGAGGACGGTGGGAGCGAAGGGGGAGGCTGGAGGCTGTCCCTCAATTACCACTGTCCCCTCCGTCCATCCAGGTCATGGGGCTGGGCCGGACAAGACACTTAATGACTCACTCATCATATTTTAGGGTCTCATCCTGAGTCAGGTCCTGTACCTGGCTGGAGGGGAATGAATAAATCCCTCTCCTGCTTTTCTGGAGCTCCCATCTCAGTCCAGTGTCAGGGGGAAAACACTCACATGAACCGGCACCCAAGATAGCTGTGTGGACAGATAGAAAGTGCCATGGCTGGAGCCCAGTTACTAGGCCAGAGGCCAGGGAGCACAGGGCTCTAGTTGCAGAGAAGCTGCAAGAGACAGCATGAAAATTCCAGCAGGCAGTGAAAATCAGCACAGGGCAGGTGTTTGTGTCCTATTTCCCCACCTGGGAATGAGGTGAATTATAGTCACATTGTGTAGCTGGGGGTGGGGGGGGTGCTCATGTGAGTCTGTGCCCAAGTGGTAGGGGGTTGTCTGCTGGAGCTGCGTTCTTGCTGGTGGCCTAGAAGAAATTCCACCTGTTTGGGGCAAAACATCATGTAGTCAGAGAGCCAGGAAGGGGCTGGGATAAGTGACTGGGGCTTCTCTCAAACCCATGAGGACAGGAAGCTGGAATCAGGCTTGCCTTCCACAGGAGAAGCAAGAAGAAGGAAAGGATCCAGAGGGACAGCCCATGGCTAGCACGCCAGAAAGTGAGGAGTGGAGCAGCAGCCAGCCTGGTATGGTGGCCCATGTATATATATTCATGTGTTGTGTGTATACACATTTGGAGGTATGAGGCTGGGAGTGTAGGTTACCGTTGTGATGGTGTGTTGTACATACATAGATGAGCATGAGTTAGTGTGTGTGAGAGAAAAACATTGTTTACGGTTGTGTATTAGTATATGTGTGCTCTTTATTGGGGGCTATATCATCTCTTTGTTCATCCTCTATCCAGTTGTAAGTAGGCCTCACTGCCAGGCTCAGTATCCAAAGACTTGAGTGTCACATGGCATTGCTTCCCTTTGGTGCTGTGAGCAAGTCTGTACTCGACATTGGTCTGACCTTGCTGTTTTGGACCCCATTCTGACCCTTTGGTTCTAAGAAAAATGAAACAAGCTCATTCATCATCAGCTCTGGCCCTCAGGCCTCCTCCATTACTATCTCCACTCTTCCATGTCAGCCTGTCTGTCTCCTGTCCACAGCATCAGGGGGGAAGAAGGAAGGCTGGTCATGGGAGTCCTACCTTGAGGAGCAGAAGGCCATCACTGCCCCGGTCAGCCTCTTCCAGGACGTGAGTGGGACAATTTCTGCCTAGGAAATAAATGCTTGCATTCCCAGTCAAGGGACTCACCACCCAACTCAGGCCTTCTGGTGTTTTCTGTGTCTGACATCTCTTAAAGGACTGTCAGAATGGAAGGGGGAGAGTGGTTAGGGTCCCAGAGTAGAAAAGAGCCCACTATAAAGGATGTCCAGGGTGGAAAGAAATAGGGAGGTGGAACCCAAGCTCACCCATCACTGGGCCTGCAGACTTTTGAATTCTGGTGCCTTCTACTCAATTTCTGTATGTTGATCTTTCAATGACTTGGATGAGAGAGGGGACCCTTAAGTCCAGCCCTGGCTCAGCCCACATTTTTCAAGGGCTCTGGGAGCTGTTCTGTCCCTCTCTGAGTCCCTGCACTGAAGACCCCCAAATAAATTATCCCTTTGGTAGTACAGGCGGGTGGGACCTAAAGGCAGCTCCTTCACCCCAAGCCCACTAGGCAAGGATAAGGCTGGATGGAAGCTGGGTCCTCTCCAATCTGTGCGTTGACAGTACCAGGCGGTCACTCATAACAAGAATGGCTTCAGATTGGGCATGAAGTTGGAAGGCATCGACCCTCAGCACCCATCCATGTACTTCATCCTCACGGTGGCCGAGGTGAGCCGAGGCTTACACCACTGTCGTTGTGATGGTGTCTCTCAGGATAGATTGATGGAGTCTGCCAGGGGTATCGAGGGCCCAGACTCAGAAGAGCACACAGTCTAGTGGGAGATTAATGTGGAACACCCAGAAAGCCAAAAAATGAACAAAACCCAGATGAAGTGTGAGGGGTGGTGATGGTACTAAATAGGTGTATACTTCAGTGCTCAGCAAACTGGAGGAGATCCCCGGGGGCAGGGGTGTTGGCATGAGTCCAACAAGGTTCATATTGTCTAGGAGCTCACAGTTGTGTGGGAATCAACCAGATAAACATACCAGGTGTGGGACAGACTTGAGCAGAGAGGCACTGAGGGGGCAGGAGAAGCTTTGCAGAGGAAGGATCTCCTTTGCTGAGTCTTGAGAGATGACTTGGGAATGACTAGAGTGTCCCAGGGAGCAGCAGCAAAGTGAGCAAGGGCTCTGAGCGTGGAACAGGCCACATGTTCAAGGAGCTGCCATTAGCTCAGTGAAGCCAGAGCAGAGTGTGCGAGTGGGGAGCAGTGAGAGAAGGTAGCAGAAGGAAAGGTGATCGGGGCCCTGAGCAGGCCTGAGCCCTGTTAGGTGCCCTTGGGGTTCTATATAGGCCTTAAAGGGCAAGAGGATGCCATAGGACATGCCTGTCTTGTACCTGGAACTCAGGGCTCATGAGTAGATGAACTTTCCTCATTGCAGGATGGGAGAGTGTGGAACAGGTTCGGGATGGGGGAAAACCTGGGAGTGAAAGGGGGAGGGGAGGCTGCTAGCATTAGAGCCCCTGAGACAACCAGGCTGGGCAGGAGAGGGGAGGGAAAGGGAGTGGTTGTCTGCTGGCATCCACCCAGAGTCCCTGTGATTCCCCCTCATGGGGCCAGGTGTGTGGCTACCGTCTCCGTCTGCACTTCGATGGGTATTCCGAGTGCCATGACTTCTGGATCAATGCCAACTCCCCTGACATCCATCCTGCTGGCTGGTTTGAGAAGACTGGGCACAAGCTGCAGCCCCCCAAAGGTAAGGCCTAGCTGGGTTAGTCACTGTGAGGCAGTGGCCCTCAGACCCATCCCTTCTTCCCCATGGTCCCTCTTCCCTTTCCCCATTGCACAGCTAGCCTCTCTTCATCACCTCCTGCTATGAATTGGCCCCAGGGCTTCCGTTTTGCCCTTGCCCTTCGAGTGTCCACCCAGGTTGGTGTCCTGCTTCAGCAGGGGGGGTGTCCCTGGGCAGGTTCTTGAGGGTTGTGGGGTCCTCAGGCCTGTCCAATTCTGTTGCTTCAGTGTGGGGTGCCCTCGCCACAGCCCAGCCTCTGTCTGCACAGTGCTCTTTTCCTCCCCTCTGAGGGGCTAGGTTACAAGGAGGAGGAGTTCAGCTGGAGTCAGTACCTGCGCAGCACAAGAGCTCAGGCTGCCCCTAAGCACCTGTTTGTGAGCCAGAGCCACGTGAGTGCCCTGAGCCAGAGTGAACACCTGCCCTGGGGACAGAGACTGCAGCTGGCCGAGGGTATCTGACTTACCAGAAGAGAGCTCATCCACCACTGCTCTCAACTCCGTTCTGGTCTCCTACCAAATGGGAGGTTCATGCTGGGCAGACCAAAGCCAGAGAGGGAAGCCAGGCATAGGTTCTCTCCCAGTTCCCTGTACAGAAGTCCACTCCTCCGCATGTCCCCTTAGAGACCCTGGTGTACCGTCTCAGCCTGGGCTCTGAGGTGTCTTCGATCTTGTTTCTTGCTTTGGTGTACTCTATAGTTCTTGGTGTGAGGTCCAAGCCTCTATGCTGGGAGCTGCTTTTTCCTTCCTTTTGCCCAACATCAAAGCTCTCCCATTTAGTCTGAACAACTCACCCCTTGCCTTTTTCTCTGTTCAAGGCAGCTGGCAGCTTTACCTAGCAGTTCAAGTATCTCCTAATCCCAAGCAAAAGGCCTGAGAGATGTAGGGAACCCCCATTAAAAATTTCACTGTATCAAAAGTCCAGGGTTCCCCTGGGCCTGGGACCCTGCCATGCCATTCAGGCGGTTACTCCCCACCCCAGTCCAACCCCAGAGACCATACTTGCAGGTTCCCAAGTGACTGGTGGCGTTCTACCCGCTATTGTGATAGGGGTGCAGACTTTTAAGTCAAACTTTCAGTCCTGGCCCCACCGTTGATTAGTGTTGTGGTCCTGGGCACGTTATCTAACTTATAAAATGGGGGTGATGGCAGCTATCTCATAAGGTAGGGGAGGCTGCACTCGGCCTGACACACTTTGGGTGAATGCATAGTTTCCTGCCAGTCACATCTTCTGCCATGGTGAGGCTTCCTCTGAATGCATCTTGGAGACCAGGAGCTCCTGAGTGACTCTGGGCTGGGGATTGTGATTCTGCCTGTTTGTCCCACTCCCCACCCCCCAGCATGACTCTTAGGGAACCCACCCCTTCCCTTGCCAGTGGGCTCCAGGCTAGCACTAGCCTGCCTGGCCTGGCCATGGCAGCCTCTCTTCTTGCCTCCAGAGTCCCCCACCCCTGGGCTTCCAGGTGGGCATGAAGCTGGAGGCTGTTGACCGTATGAACCCATCCCTCGTCTGTGTGGCCAGTGTGACCGATGTGGTGGACAGCCGCTTCCTGGTGCACTTTGACAACTGGGACGATACTTACGACTACTGGTAGCGGGAGGGCCCAGACTTGGCCAGGGGTGGTGAGGGCATGGCAGGGGGTGGAAGGCAAGACTTTGAAAAGTTAGACACCATGTAGCCCCTGCCCAGCCCTGGCATTCGTATTTGTTCAGGAGGATAATTGACTGTCCTATGGATATGATCTATGCATTTCATAAGAAACACAACGCAATATATATATTTTTAATCCCATTTGAGGACATGGTCTTATTTATTTGTTAAGACTTTAGAAAGTATTAAGTGCATGTTTCATAGAGCTGCTCTCTTCCAAGAATGCTAGAATGCCTCTTTGATATGTTTTTACTGACTTTTTAGAGAGAGAGGAAGAGAGAGAGAGAAACATCAATATGAGAGAGAAACATCGATTCGTTGCCTCCCATATGTGCCCAGACTGGTGATTGAACCCCCAACCTTGGGTTGTGCCCTGACCAGGAATCGAACCCGCCACCCTTCGGTGCATAGGATGGTGCTTTAACCACTGAGAGCACTGGCCAGGGCCACTACACAATATTAGATGTATCATCTAAAACTACCAAGGTTAAGATGAGTAGACCCCTGTGATTCAGGATTTGCCCTTAGATAAGATGGTGATGTTAGAGCTTTTGGTTAATGCTACAGTTTTCTGACTTTCTCATCAGCCATCTGTCTAACTCTAAGAAGTACAATTAGGGTGCGCCCTGTTGCCCAGGGCCTCCAAGTTTCACTTGGGTATTCTTGGGTTTCAGGTGTGATTCCAGCAGCCCCTACATCCACCCAGTGGGCTGGTGTCAGAAGCAAGGAAAGCCCCTCACACCTCCACAAGGTGACCATGCTGCCTGAGCAAACACCCTTTCCCGGGCCTGGCCCCACACCCCTCTCCCCACATCCTATACCAGGACCCCCAGGGTGAGGGGACACAGTGTCCTGGAGCCTCAGCTTCCATGCTTGGGAGTTGAGAACCCTTTAATTTTAGGAGAGTCCTGCCAGACCCCTACTGTGTGAAGGTTTAAGGGAAGAAAGTTAGATGACCTCCCTCCCCCTAAGCAAGGGCACAGGATTCCGAAGTGAAAAAAGCGTACCCTTTCCTGTCAGAGTATTGCAATGGCCCACGTACAGTGGAGGTTCAGATGGGGCTGGGCTGCAGCTGGAGCCACAGGGCAGTGGAGGGGGATGGGAGTCACAGTTCCCGGACGGCCTTGTAAACTGGGAGGCGGTGATGTGCTTGCTAGCACTCTGCCTCCACAGCCCCTGCAAGGACCTGGCTGTGGGGATGTGGGGGAGATTGTCCTCCACAGGCCTCTGTCTCTTTCATGCTCCCAGTCCTCCTTGCGGGGACAGGGCTCTCCCAGTATGCCTGGGTGCCTAGACGTTGCTCTCCTCCTCCAGACTACCCAGACCCTGATAGCTTCTGTTGGGAGAAATACCTGGAAGAAACTGGGGCCTCTGCGGTGCCCACCTGGGCCTTCAAGGTGGTGAGTTGGCTCACCCTTCTCCCAGAGCTGAACTCAGGAAGGCATGGAGCCCTTGGCCAGCTAGGCTGTGGCCCCGCACCTCCCCCTCCCACTTTCGCAGGCCCCAATTTTCCAGGCACAGCACCGGGCTCCCTTCTTGGGGCCTCAGCACTGCTGAACTGGGCATTGGCTTGAAGGCTGCTGTCCCCCTGCAGCGACCCCCGCACAGCTTTCTGGTCAACATGAAGTTGGAGGCCGTGGACCGCAGGAACCCAGCCTTGATCCGCGTGGCCAGCGTGGAGGATGTGGAGGACCATCGGATAAAGGTGGCTCTGGGACCCTTGGTCTGGGGAAGTGAACAGGTTGATTGGGAAGAAATTCTGTAGATTATTTAGAAGGCAAGTGCATAGCATGAGCCAGACATAAGGGAGGCTCCACATTGTGGTGAAGAGAGCTCTAAACTTGAGGCCGAGCCTCACCTGTGACTTACCTTTGGTTTGAGCAAGTCATTTACCTTCTCTGAGCCTTAGCATTCTCATCTATAAAATGGGCCTAATAATCCTAGTCCTACACAAGGATTGGTGGGAGGTACCCGTAATTTAATGAGTGAGGCCCTTGGAAAATGTGGCGGCCAAGATGAATTATTGTGGGGTTGGTTCCTATTCAGGAGCAATCCAGAACCTTGCTTCTGATAGACTCCAGGGATGGGGAGAGCCTCCTGGAGCCTGCAGGACCTCCCAGCTGAGCTGGGCTCCACGAGGAACACCTGACCTCCAAGGGCCTTTCCTCCCCAGCTCCACTTTGATGGCTGGAGTCATGCCTATGACTTCTGGATCGATGCCGACCATCCGGACATCCACCCTGCCGGCTGGTGCTCCAAGACAGGGCATCCCCTGCAGCCTCCTCTCCGTATGTACCCCTAGAGCACTCTGATCCTTTCCCACCGATGTCCAGCCCCACCCCACCCCGAGCTCTTACACCCCACTTTGATAGCATGCCCAGGTCTGACACAGGGCTCTGGTGGCCTCAGTGAGTTCTGAGATCCTGCGTTCTCCTGCCCCAAGGATTTCTGCTATACTAAGCAGTCCTCTGGCTTCCCCAGTTGTTGGGTCTGGGGTATTGACGTATAAAGAGAAACTCACTTGGGAACATGTGCTTAGGAGGTAGTTACACACCAAGAAGTTCTCTCAGCATCTAGCAGAGCCGCACAGAGCACGCACGGTGTTTGCTAAGGAAACGCTCGCTCCATTAAATAAAATCTGGGCAGGGTTAGAGGTCAGATCATTGGACTGCTTAGCCTCAGTTCTTACCCTCAGAATCCACCCCCAGCCCCCCCACCCCGCTTATTTCCCTGCTGTGCCACATGGGTCTCACACGGGGTGTTGATCCTTCTCAACTGCTCTCCCAGCATGGGCAGAGCTTAAAAGTTACCAAAGTCTGGGTGATGAAACAGGGAAACAAACGATAATGTGGATCTGCCTGACATGGCTCCTAAGGTACAACTCTGCGCACATAGCTCTGCGTTGATCTTCCCCCGAGGAGACAGAGGGCATGGCCTACAGGTTTCACCAAAGTATATGAGAACCAAGCCCCTCATTCCCTACAGAGAGGTAGATACCCAGCCGCAGGAAATGGTGTCACAGCCTAGCTCAAGGCCCTTGTACCTGGGGCACTAGTTCCCAGGGCTGACCTTCCCCGTGGAAACTGCTGCTTCCCTGCTCTCCACTCACCCCACCTCCACCTCGCCCCAGGACCCTATGCTGACGCTTCTTCCTGCTCCTCCAGATCCCAGAGAGCTCAGCTCTGCTTCCCCTGGGAGCTCTCCCCCCCTCAGCTACCGGAGCCTGCCACACACTAGGACCTCCAAGTACAGCTTCCACCACCGGTGAGGGAAGAGCTCCTGCTAAGAGAACCTCAGGCATTGTTCAGAGCGAGTCTGTTTTACACCTACTGTGTGTGGCCAATCAGAGCTCACTAAAGACCCTTTCCAAATGGGGCCAGGGTTGGAAAGGGCTAATGGGAACAAGTAGATTCAGCCCAACCTGTGCCTTCTCCTTCCCCAGGAAGTGCCCCACTCCTGGTTGTGACGGCTCTGGCCATGTCACAGGCAAGTTCACAGCTCACCATTGCCTTTCGGGCTGCCCGCTGGCTGAGAGGAACCAGAGCCGGCTGAAGACAGAGCTGTCCGACTCCGAGGCCTCGGCCCGTAAGAGGAACCTCTCGGGCTTCTCCCTAAGGAAGAAGCCTCGCCATCATGGCCGGTGCGGAGGGCAAGGGTGCAGGGCCTCGTGTCCTCTTGGGCCAGGCCAGGCACTGATTCCCTGCCATGGACCTGGTCCCTCTTTCTCCAGGATTGGGCGCCCTCCAAAGTATCGGAAGATCCCACAAGAAGATTTCACGAGTAAGTCCAAGGTCGTTTACTCCACAAAGTGTTCGCAATTGTTGGGATGGGGGGACCCGGAGAAGGAGAAGCTGGAAAGGAGGTTGTATCTCTTCATTTGAGATACTTGGGGAGCATAGAGCAGTGGCAAGAGTACAGAATGGGGCCTTGAATGACCGCAGGTTCCAGCCCCATTTCACCCATGGCCTTGCTGGGAGTCTGTGGGAAAGGCACAGAGCCTCTCTGAGCCCCTGTTTCTCCACTGTGAGGTCAGATGATGCCTCAAGCTCTGTTCTTAATTCTAGGCTCCCTGGGAGGGAAGCCATGGATGTCACTGTCTAGCTGTGCGACCTTGAGCAAATCACTTAACATCTCTGAGCCTCAGTTTCCTCATTTGAAAACATGAATAACTTCCCTGGCCAGGTAGCCCAGTTGGTTAGAGCATTATCCCAATATGCCAAGGTGTTGTGGGTTAGATCCCCTACAAGAAGCAACCAATGAATGCATGATTGGAACAACAAATCGATGTTTCTCTCTCTAAATAAATAAATAAATGAATAATTTAAAAAAAGAAAGAAAACATGAATAACTGCCTTTCACATGTCAGCTACCTGAAATAATAATGGTTACTACTAGGGTTTCCTGAGCACCCACTCTAGGCCGAGCACTGTTTCCAGTGCTTTCCATATACTGTTGCTGCCTCTCCTGAGCATCCTGTACTGTGAAAATCATTCTGTCCTTCGGAGAGAAGAGAAACGAGAGGCTCAGAGAGAGAAGTCATTTGCCCGAGGTCATTTGCCTTATAAGGAGCAGAGCTGGGATTCGAACTTCAGTCTGACTTCTCCTGCTACATGCTGCTGATATAATAGACATAAAGCCCCTAACCCAAATGTCAGTTCTCTTCCTAACTCCCTTTGTCTTAGCTTGACTGTCATAACCAAGTACCACAGACTGGGTGGCTTAAACAAGAGAAATTTATTTTCTCACAATTAAAAGTCCAAGATCAAAGTATGGCGGAGTTTGGTTTCTCCTGAGGCCTCTCTCCTTGGCTTGCAGATGTCTGCCTTCTCGCTGTGTGCTCACATGGTCTTTCCTCTGTGCCTGTGTTCCCCACCCCACCCCATCTCTGTGAGTCCAAAATTCTTTTTCTTATAAGAACACCATTCGTATTGGATTAGAGCCCACCCTAACGATCTTATTTTAACTTAGTCACCTCTTTAAAAGCCATTTCTCCAATTATGGTCACATTCTGAAGTCCTAGGTGCTAAAATTTTAACATGAATTCGGGGAGCCGCAGTTCAGCCCATAGCCGGCTCCAAGGGGAGGCACAAGGTGACAGCCCTCCTCTGCGTGATGAATTCGTTTCACATCTTTGACCAGGGGCAAGGGCCTGATACACAGCAGGGACCCTGGGGATCTTGCCTCAGTTGAGTCGCACATCGTTTTACGGCAAGAGGAGACCATGAACAGTCACCTGGTTCATTGCACAGTGTCTAGGCAGGACCCAAGCTAGTCGAGTGATTCAGGAGCAGCCTCTGAACCTGGGCAGTACCTGAAGTCAGGCTGCCTTTTACCCCTGTGAAACCTTAGCAGGTGATGCCGCCTCTCTGAGCCTCAGTTTCTTCATCTGCAAAATGCTGATAATAATAGTGTCAATCTTGAAAGGTGGTGTAAGGCTTAAATGAGATAGTCATGTAATAACCTGCTGGAATTCTTGTTAGTTCTGATCTCTTGCCTGACTCCCTCTTGGTGTTGTTCCATCCATACTGTTTCCTCTGGGCGGAGACAGAAGGTGATCCCTGCAGCCTCAGGCCTGAGTGAGGAGGGTCTGGGCCTGCCTCCAGGCCCTCAGAGTGAGGACTTTGGGGGATGGCACTGCAGTGGGCACCTCTTCTACCTGCCCATGGAATACCTGGTGAGCTTCCATTGTAGGGCCATGTTCTGACCACCAGAGGGTGAGTGCCTGCTGTGTTAATTCCAGAAATTTCCCGACGACTAGGAAAGTTAAGTCTTCCCAGAGACTGAGGCTATGGCCCAGAGAGGCCCTCCAAACCCTTCAGGGACAGAACAAAGAACAGAGCTCAGGCTTCGGACCTCTGTGCAGGGCTCCCTTGTTCCACCGGGAGCTCGCTCACAGAGGGGACACGGGTCACTCTGGATTTTGTTCCGGAGACTTCTCACACATCCCTGGGTAGACCTCTTCAGTGTGGGCTCCAGGCTTTGCCGGTGAACAGCTCTGTGGCAAAGGCTGCCTGCTGAGGAAGGTCTTAGCTGTGCTGTCCCTGCTCATGGGCCATTCCAGCCCCGAGTGTCAGCGTGGGAAAGAACAAGAGGAAACCGCAGAGATTTCCTCTCCCAACCTATTCATTTATAGGTTGGGAAACCGAGGCCCATGTTATGTGACTTGCCCAGGATTCAAGAGCAAGTTAGTAAGGGCCAAAAGGACTTAGGGAAAGGAGGAAAAACAGGACGGGCTTCTGATGTCAGGGCTGCGCTTGCTTGGGTGTTGGGCCCACCTGGATGCCAGGTATCTTGAGAATGGTGCCAGGATGCTCCAGCAGCTCCAAGAAGCCTCCTTGCAGGGCCTGGGTGGTATGGCCTCAGAGGGACCCGGGGCAGGAGGCAGGTTGTTCCAAACAGCTACCTGAGAGTCTGTAAAGCAAGGAACCTGGTTTACTGGACGGAGGGAGCCCAGATGAGGAGTCAGATCTGGACCACCCTCTTGGCTCTGCAGGGCTATCAGAAGGGGGCCGCAGTCCTCCCGAGTGGCCTGGGTACAAGCGGGCTTTGGGGGCCAGGTTAGTCCTTGGCATCGGCCTGCCAGCCTCTGACTCTGCTTTCCAGCACTAACGACCGATGTCATCCACCAGTCCCTCTTCATGTCAGCCCTGTCGGCCCACCCTGACCGTTCACTCTCAGTGTGCTGGGAGCAGCATTGCAAGCTCCTGCCGGGAGTGGCGGGCATCTCGGCCTCAACAGTCGCCAAGTGGACCATCGACGAGGTGAGGAGCGCGGGCCCCTTCCTCTTCCGCTCCCCTACTTTGCCCTCTCACCACGACACCCTGGTTCAGGAGAGGCCCTCCCAGGCAGAGCTGGACGCTGCCCCCAACACTATCTCCTGCTCATCCCCAAGTCCACGGTCCCTCCTCGCTGCCCAGTGGGACTGATGGAGAGACTGGTGGATGGGGAGAGAGACAGGCTGCTAGTCCAGCTGGAAATCTAGCAAGAGGCAGGCTGGGCCTCACACCCAGTAGCAGAGACACGCAAGGATCGCCTTAGGCTGATCAGAAAAAGCAACACTATCACAGCCCAGAAGGCACAGAGGCCATATAAGCCCACCTCTCCCCTGTACACCGACCCCTGTCTCCTTGGCAACATGTCTTCTTTGATCTCAAGGTCTTTGGCTTCGTTCAGACCCTGACAGGTTGTGAGGATCAAGCACGACTCTTCAAAGATGAGGTAAGTAAAGTGCAAGTGCAGAGTGGGGCAGAGAAAGGTCACTCACCAAGACGGAAGGATGCAGGTGTCCCCACCAGTGCTGCTCTCAGATAGGGAAGGCCCTCTGTTGCCACACCTAGGGGAGAGTAGTCATAGTGACCACATCTCGGAAAAATCTGTATGAACTGTGGCCCAGCTTGGGAACCCTCTGTATTTAGAGCATCCCTAGGAAGGAAGAAGCATTCTGAAGACAGATTCCATTCACCCCTCTGCTCTCTGCCCAATCTTTTGTTCTCCAAACTTACCTTCAGTCAGTTAATTAAAATGTATTTTGAATGGCACAGGTATTGCCACTTACTGCAAGGATCGTAACATACACTTAAAATCAAGACCCAGAAGCTCCCCAAAGATAAGAAGCAGTAAGTTGTAGATAAAAGAATGCTAGCTTTGCAAACAGTTGGGTCTGAATCCTAGTTCTGCCAATTTGAGCTTTTCACTGTCCCTGAGCCTGCATCTTATGTGTAAAATTGAGATAAAATAGGTGTAATGATGTCTACCTTTCAAGGCCATTGTGAGCACTGGAAATGATGAATGGACCATTGTGTCAGAATGTCTAGTATAGTTATACCACTAGTATGTATACTATTATATTAATATAAAAGTAATACATAATATTCTATATTAATATTGTATATAGAATATTATAGAGTAATATGTAAGTCATATCACTATAGCAGAATAACTGATATAGTGGGGGTTCAATCCACAGTGGTTCTGACTTTTAATGTGTAGTTGTCCTTAAATGAAGAACTTTATCATGTTTCTCCTAATTTGTACAGTTTGAAACTGGAAGGGACCTTTGAGTTTGTTTAGGTCTTCCTTCCAAAGAATATACAAATCCCCCTTCACCCAGGAAAGCATAGTCTCTGCTCCCCATAGGTGCCCCCTCCGGGTGGATACCCATTAGGAAGAAGTCTGCCCCCTCTCCCTGGAAGAATCTCTTTATCCAGCCCGCCGGTCAGTTTCTTCATCAGATCCTTGTTTGGTGGGGTTCCCTTGCCCCTCCCCATTCTGGGTGCTTTTGTTCTGGGTTGGTGATCTTACCGTAACGGGTGTGTCCATTGCTGCACCTGTGTTTCAGATGCTCTCTGAACACCTGGGCTGCTGCTCCAGATGGTTTTGGTTTCTGTTTCTAAAAAGATTTTAATACTTTAGAGCAGTTTCAGGTTCACAACAAAATTAAGAGGACAGTGCAGAGATTACCGGTATGCCCCCTGCCCACACATGTACAGCCTCCCCCTTCATCGACATCACTCAGAGCGGGACATTTGTTATAGCTGATGAACTGACACCTCGGTATTCGTACATGGAGATCAAATGTACACAGAGAGAGATGCACCCATCGTAAAAGTGCACTTCCACAGGTTCTGTGAATTGTATACACGGAACCCAATACTTCAGTTGAGATGTAAAACATTTCCATCACTCCAGGAAGTTCTTTCTCAGCCCCTTTCATCAGTCCCTAACCTCATAGGCATCCACTGTTCTCATTTCTAGCACCACAGGTTAGTTTTGCCTGCCCTTGAACTTCATATGAATGGAATTGTTTAGCACTTACTCTTTTTTGTCTGTCTTTTTTCATTCAGTGTGATGTTTTTGAGGTTCATTCATGTTACTGTGTATACCAGTAGTTCATTTTTATTGCTGAGTAGTGCTCCATTTTATGAATATCCCACAATTAATGAACATTTTTTCTTCATATTTTTATGAACAAAACTTAAGATTGCACTAGCTTTATTATAGCCACATCACACCATTTTGGGGTTCATGAAAGTCTCCAAGTGCTTTTTATATCAATTATCCATTATAATCGTGCCAAATTTTCCAGTGTGTTACTCGTGCCACTGGTTTTTTAAATTAATCTAATGTGAGACTTTACATTTCTCCCTATAAAATGTTATCTTTTTGGTTGTATAGTCTCATTGTTTTAAATCTCAACTCTGTCATGTCTGATATTAATAAGCCTTTCCAGCCTCATACAACTTGTACTTTTTTTAAAATATATTTTTATTGATTTTAGAGAGAGGAAGGGAGAGAGAGATAGAAACGATGAGAGAGAAGCATCCATATTGATCAACTGCCTCCTGCACACCGCCTGCTGGGGATCAAGTCCAAAACCCAGGCATGTGCCCTGATGGGAATCAAATTGGTGACCTCCTGGTGCATGGGTAGACGCTCAACCTCTGAGCCACATGGATCGGGCTTCAACTTGTACATTTGATAACTAAGCCCTCTGTGTTTTAAGCCAAGTCTTCACCACATGTGTCAAGACAGAGCAGAACCATGTGGCATCCATTAGAGAACTTCCATTAGGTGACAACAGATCATAAACAAGTGCTCTTTGAGTACAGTTGTTCAGCCAGCTGCTCAGCCACCCAAGAGTTTGATCCTCTGTCCCACATGGGGCTTTGCATCGTCCCCTTGTTGGGAGAGGGGTTATCTCTCCCAGGAACATCTGCTGCATGTCTCGGCTCAGCATGTTCTGATACAGAAAAGCAGCGGCCAGAACAGGGAAAGTGTGCTGGTGGACCCACAGCACCCAGTACAGTCTCAGTGCAGACCTTTGCGGGGACTGAGGATTGCCTTCTCCAAGGCCTGGTCCACATCATCAGCCTCCCCAGGGCGTGGGTTCTCTCTGGCTGAACTGATGCAGCCTGGACATTCAGGGACACCGGTCAAGATGAATGGTAAATTGCTGCTTCTGGTAGCATGTGGTAAGGGCTCCGAGGGAGGCGTGTGCCCGGTGTAATGGGTGCTCAGAGGAGGGGGAAGACAGAGAGGGGCTGACAGACTCTGCTGACCGTGCAGCCAGATAAACACGGGCAACTTCCTGCTTCCCAAGTATCCCTTTTTCTTGGATTCTTGTGCGCCATGCCTTTCTGTTGCAATAGCACAGAAGTCTCCTCATCAGGTTTTGACAGTGCCGATTGGATTTTAGCTTGGCCTCTGTTAGACATCCATGTGTGGCTCTCTAAGGATCTTTCCAGGTTGCCCCAACTTAGGAAATTCCCTGGTCCTATCCGCAGCTATTGCTTAGAGTGGATTATTGCATTTGGCTCATTTAATTCATTTTCCTGTTGAATTTCTCTACCTTCAAGGTCAAATGTGACCTTTTTCAAGATTATGGCTCAAAACTCCCCATAGACATCAGCACACATACAGCATCTTATATGTTCTTCAATAATCCCATTGTCCCATGATATAGTCCCTAACTGCTAGACCACAAACTCCAATCTTTGCTTTGAAGAGCCTAGAATCAGCCTCAGCAGTTACAGTGGTGAGAAATCTGAGTGATGCACAGGAGCCATTGGAAAGGGTCTTACAGAAGGTGCCCTTCTGGGTTTGTCTCATTGCTTTCTTACGAGATCATTCCACTTGTTCCAACATTCCCTGCATTTCCTATAAACTGGAAGTAGGTCCAAAGGCTTGGTGAGATTTAGATTAAATCACAGTCTCTCTCAGCTCATAGGTAATACTGTGATGCATTGACCAGAAGGCCCACATGTCTGTTAGCAGCACTAAGACTGACCGGGGGGTCATGTGGGGACAGCGACAGCAGGTTTTTTGAAGCCACTGTCAGTGAGGACTCAGGAAACATTATGCAAATACACTCTGAAGTCCAGATCAGTCAACAGAGAGAGTGTGTGAGTGTGTGTGTGCATGTGTGAACATGGGGACACCGGTGGGTATCTTTTCTTCTCTGTCCCCACTGCTGTCTTCCTTGTCTCCTCCCTCCCCTCCTTCTCCTTTCCCTTCTTCTTTCCCCCTCCCCGTGCATATGCCCACCCTCCTTCCCTCCTTCCCCATGACCCTCCCCACCTTCTCCGCTTTCCACCTCCCTCCCCCAACCCTCAGATGATTGACGGCGAGGCCTTCCTTTTGCTGACACAGGCGGACATTGTGAAGATCATGAGCGTCAAGCTGGGCCCAGCCTTGAAGATCTATAACGCCATTCTCATGTTCAAAAACGCCGATGACACCTTAAAGTGACTGGCTCAGGGCTGGGCCCTCCTCCAGCCCCAGCCGGGCCTCCCTCTGCACCTGATGCTTCCTTCCTGACCTGAGTTCCTCACGTTCCACCTGTGCCCCCACCACCCTCTGTATCTGACCAGGGGTGGTCCCTCTTCTCTCCAGGGCTGCTTCCTACAAGGTGCATGAGAGGAGAGGAGCCGCAGCCCTGGAGCTCACCTGCCACCAGGCACACCAGTGAGGGTGTGACGGGGCTGGGGGACAGAACTGAAGGGGTAGATTGGGGGCGCCCCGCCTGTGGCAGCCCCATGCCTGTAGCCAGCTTGTTTTTATCACCGAAGGGTCTTTGGTTACCCATTAAGAACAGCCTGGTAGAACAAGAGGCCCTTTCAGCATCTCTCTCTGCTTTTCTTTCCTTGTCTCATCTCCTCCTACCAAGAAGTGACCCTGCCGAAAACATACTTACTCAGAAGACATCTCCCCCTTCTGTTTCCTGGTTTTGCTGCCCTCATTCTGCTGCCCAGTTTCCTGTGCCACGCCCATGGCACAGCCAGACCCCGCTGGCTCTTCCCCTTGGGTGGGTGGGTCTCAAAAGCATGTTTTCATAGGATCCAATGGGAGTCTGGGCTGCCTTTCTCCCTTTTACCTAGAAGTGAGGGATTCTGAGCCAAGATGCCTTCTTCACCATGCCCAGCTCTGGGCCACTTGGCATTTTTAGTGATCCACGCCAAGTCTGTTTCCAGCAGAGTGGGTGGCTGGAGCATTTTACCTCTGCAGCAGAGGTTAGGGTTCCATGGGTGTTCCCCATACACCCTCACTGTGTCAGGTATGGGGAGGAGGCGGCCTGGATGGCTAGGTAGCCAAGGCAGCCCAAGAATATGTCAGACAATCTCAGATCTTTAGTCAGAGGGCAGCTCCAGCAGGCATGGTGGCTCCCAGAGCTGGGCGTAGCACCCTTCTCTGCAGCCATGTGTCTCAGCCAAGGCGTTGCC